TGGAGATGCTGAGGTAAATAAGATTCCGTTTTTGCCTCAGAAATCTAAAATTCTGGCTTATAATTCATTTGCATAGAGGTTATAGTTTAAACAGCATAAGCATGTGAAATATTATAGGAGAAAGCATAGGAGAAGGAAGGAGATAGCTGGATAAAATCTTTAGGAATTTTTTACATTTAGGGAAAAATAAAAGCAAAAGAAAATCTAATAAAGGAGAAAGTATTATTGAAAGATGTATAGTTGAGAAGAGGATCAAGAGGCCTCCATGACCTAGATCTTAAGGATGAAAGTGGGTTTTGATAAGAAAGTGGACCAGAAGCAGTGGCTCACTCCTGTAATCCCAGAACTTTGCGAGGCTGAGGCAGGCTGATCACATGAGGTCAGGAGTTTGAGACCAGCCTGGCCAACGTGGTGAAACACTGTCTCTACTAAAAATACAAAAAAATTAGCTGGACATGGTGGCACACAGCTGGATCCCAGCTACTCAGGAGGCTGAGGCAGGAGAATCACTTGAACCCAGGAAGCAGAGGTTGCAGTGAGCTGAGATTGTGCCACTGCACTCCAATCTAGGTGAAGAGCAAGACTCCATCTCAAAAAAAAAAAAAGAAGAAGAAGAAGAAGAAAGAGGCAATCAGGAATACCAGACTTATATAAGAGGTTGAGAATGAAAAGAATAAAGATTAGAGGGATCTAGTGGTAAGGAAAACTTTACAGTTTTACAGACCAAGTGGACGGGAGGCTTGACGCTTGGCACAAATGTTAAAAGATTCTGAGAAGTGATGAGCAAGCAGACATAGCAAGTGTAAGACTTTTCCTTTAAGGTTAACAAAGGAGAGATATTGGTAGTATTGAAGGGGAAAGAGACAGATAGACAGAGTCCAGGATTGGCCCTGGGAAAGACTAAAGGTCATGCTGAGAAATAAGGGAATGGAAATGTGAAAATTGTTGTTCAAGGGTGAAACTTAAAGAGTTTCAGATCCTGGAGGTGGTAGGGTTTTGTGTGATCAAATCCAATGTGTGACCTAAATGCAATCAAGGAGAAATAAAGGGCCAGTGGTGATATTAACAAAAGAGGATCAGGGGTTGAGGAAATAAGGCAAAGGAATCTAGGAAGCATAACTGCAAGTTTGCATAAAGACTCAAGACAGCTTCTTGTTCTGATTGAAACCCTTTGGAAGGAGTCCCATGGATAGGCCTCTTCTGCTCTAAATGAGTAGTGAATTAATTCATTCAAAAAAATTTATTTTATGTCTGTTATGTACCAGACATTGTTTTAGGTGTTTGGGATATATTACTGAGTCCTGTATATGACAGTACTGATTTGTAATATTGAAATATTAACAAACTTATACATTATGGTATAAAAATACTCTTGTACTGTTTAAACTATGCTCAATACATGAGTTCCTTTAGGGCAGAAAATTGTCTTACTCATCCTTGTATGCCAGTTACTGAGCATAGCACCTGATGTTTAATAGGTATGTTCATGAAATGTTTCAATTACTAAAACTGTTAAATAACAGAATAATTCTGGAAGATTTTTACACAGAAATACTATCTGTGTTTTGTAAAAGGTAGAAAAAACACTATTAAATTTATATTTATAACGTTACGGAACCTTTTAATGAGACAGTTTACTTTTTAAAAAAATCACTGAGTTTTAATTCTTGCTATAAAGGCAAAATATAGTAAAATTGTGAAATGTATACTTGAATTATTTCCTTTCTGTAGTATAACTGTTCCACATGAAACAGAGGAAGTCTCTGGTGTATTTTTTTTTAATGTATGATATTACTACAATCGTGATAAGTGATCGTAGTTTACTTTACTAAATATAGAAGTAAATCTTTTTCTCACCAGCAAGGAGTGGACCTGTAAGATTCATCGTCACTAAGGATGCTTTCCATGCTTTAATTATTTTAACCAAGAATTTTAGAAGAAAGAATTAGAAAGTAGAGTTGAAGTAGCCTTGATCTGAACGCCCATCTCTGCATTATTGCCAGGCATAGATGTCATTCTTGTGTACAGATCTATATATCTTTTTCCATTTGAACCTGTGATGCATACAGCTCATTTTACTGAAATTTTCTACTTAATTGCTTCCAGATTCCATTCTTTTTAGATTTAAAAAAGAACTTTTTGTTGTCAAATTATGTTATCATTGGTTCTTAATTGTTGCTGCAAGAGTGATAACTTCATTTACCTATTCCTCATGTTTTCTGCTTGTGAGACTACAAAGTTTAGCTTCTTTGCTTCTTCCCAATAATGAAATTAATGCTGTAACTATACATCTAAGAATGCTGCATACTACCAATTATTTATTACTTATTAATTACTACCAATTATCACTACCAATTATTTATTAAAACTAATTGTAATTATAGTTAGTTATTACAGAAGTATTTCTATCAGTTTCTAATCATTGATAATTTAAATTGTTCTGAATTTTTATATTTAATATAGCTTTTGTAGCTTTGAGATTACTTCCCTCAAATTTCTTTGTATTAAATCATGACTACATACATGTAATTGATACAATTTAAAATTTGTAAAATATAAATTACAAGTGACCCCGAATTCCCCAAAACTGCAATGTTCAGTTCAACTCGCTTACCACACAAATTGATGGAGAAAGAAATGTAATGTACTGATGAAGTGTAAACATACTGATCATAGTATGTTTATAAATAAAACATTTAAGTAAATTTGAGTCAGGAAGTTGAATTGATTGGTGAGAACCAGAGATTTTATGTGTAATAACAAATGAAAGTAAACACTGGTATTTAAAGTTACAAGCTCATTTTTTGAAGAAACTAGCTGGAATTCTGAGAACTTGCCAAAAAAAAAAAAACACACTCACACTGTTTCTGGTAGCCTATCATTGGTCTCAAAGATAGTGACATTTGAGTAAGTTTTTTGGCAATAGCATACTCTGTTTTATTTTGACTCATCTTCAGTGCTAATGCAGTCCATTCTAATAACGCAGAAGAACCAACTCAACAAAAACAATGATTAGCTGACTTAGAGAAGACACCCAAGTTTATGCCCTTTCCTTGTCCTCTTAACTTACAGTTTCTTTGTGAGCTTTCCTTGCAAAGACACTTTGAGGATCTTCCCTGTGAGATCTAGTTACTGCTTTGTTGTAGTGGGAGCACTATCCTGAATCAGAACTTTTCTCTATAGCCTGATGTAAAACATAGTTAATACAATTTATTTAAATATTATTTTTAAAGTCATTCATATCTTCCTGTTTCAGTAAAGAATACAGCATTATTTTAATAAAGAATATAGGCTTGGGCCGGGCGCGGTGGCTCAAGCCTGTAATCCCAGAACTGTGGGAGGCCGAGGCGGGTGGATCACGAGGTCAAGAGATCGAGATCATCCTGGTCAACATGGTGAAACCCCGTCTCTACTAAAAATACAAAAAATTAGCTGGGCATGGTGGCGCGTGCCTGTAATCCCAGCGACTCAGGAGGCTGAGGCAGGAGAATTGCCTGAACCCGGGAAGCGGAGCAAGAAAAAAAAGGGAAGAGATTTGATTAATGACTAAATGATAACAGTAAATACACTATTTTAAACTTATATTTGGAAATTTCAAACATACTATGTTAAAACTAATTAAATTGCAGTGCACAGTCAGGACTGATGTAATATAAACAAGAGATAATATGGAAGCTTTATTCTAATTTTAACACAGAGCACAATACTGTTTATACAGTAAATTCGTAAGATAACCTAGAGTATTCTCTTTTCCTGGTAGCAAGTGAGGTTACCTTAATTATTTCCTGGAAGTACAGGGAAGATTTCTAAGTATTAGAAAAATTTTCTGCCAAATTCCTGCAAAGTATGAAAAATAAGCCATTTTTAAAAATCATATAACATTCCGACCTGGAGTTATAATACTTACTATTAGATTTTCTTTAGATTAAAAATAGAATTGAAAAGTCAGACTCATTTGAATTGAACATTGCCTTACTATGAGAAAGTTAAAAATGATTTTTATATTGATAACCACTTGTGAATACATTTAGAAATATCTTTGTAAGTGTATTCATTAAGTTCTTATATTGTCTTGTGCATTGTTTAATTAGACTAGAATTTACTCCCTTTTTGGTGTCAAGATACTCTTCTCACCTAGGAAGTACAGTCATATACTGCGTAACAACATTTCAGTATATTATACTCTTATGGGCTACATATGCCAGTAGCCCATAAGATTATAATGCCATATTTTTCCTGTACTTTTCTTAGGTTGAGCTATGTCTAGATATACAAATATTTACCATTGTGTTACAACTGCCTATAGTATTCAGTTGAGTAACATTCTGAACAGGTTTGTAGTCTAGGAGCAACAGGCTGTATCCTATAGTCTAGGTGTATCCTATAGACTAGGTGGTAGACTGTACCACCTAGGTTGTATAAGTACACTGTACAATGTTTGCACAATGACTGAATCACCTAACAACGCATTTCTTAGATTGAATTCCTGCCATTAAATAATTCATGACTGTATTAGAGATGAGAGCTTCAACTCTGGCACATTGAAACTGGGATCTCCTTGCTGAGAGTATGATAATTTGAGTATTAACTTGGTGACAGATTCTGGACTTACTTCAGTGGCTTTCAACCTTAGATTAAAAGGATTTTTTTTTTCCTTATGAGTAAAAAATATTGATAATATATTAATGTACATATATTAAGAGAAAATTGGCCTCACTTCCTCAGGTCAAACAATTTTAATTAGTGAAAATTACTTAAAACATGGGATCTCAAATCTCAAATTCAAAGTAAGTAAAGTTATACCATTCATTTTAATTATTTTTATCGTGCTTTCATGTTTCTAGAAACATTTTTTAGGGCTTGAAGAGTAGAAAATACAGAAGAAAAAATGTAACATAAAAATAGGTAAATTATTATAAATTTTAACTATAAACACTGAAATCAGATAATTCTCATCTGTTTTTATAGTCCAACTTTAAGTGTGTTTTTTTTCCTCCCAGGACATTTATTCAGAACAGCTGGGGATCAACCGTTTAACCTGTCCACAGTGTCGAGTGCCTTCCCAATGGTCAGCCACCCAGTCTTTGGTCTACATTCAGCCAGCTCAGGGCATTCAGAATTTGGTGGTTTGGGGACACTTGGTACACCCACAGCCTTAGCAGCACATCCCCAACTAGCATCTTTTCCAGGTAAACATCTGTTACAAACAGTGTTCATGGAAAGGAGGAAAGCTTAAGAATGTTCAAGCAGTAATTTGTTGAACAACAGGAATAGTGTAATGCCTGGTGTATTGTAACTTGGGTGCAAGAATTGGCCCAATCCTATTTATCATGTGTAAAAAATTAAACACCTTAAGTGTGTTAGGTGGCAGAGCAGTTAGTTAGATATCCAGGTATTTAACTAGAGAAACCGGTGTCTGTCACAGAAGGTAATAATTCAGGCAAGTTTTTTCTCATGTTTTTTATGGAAGTATAATATACAGAAAAGTATATATATTCTAAGTGTAGAGCTGAATGAATTTTTCTCAGCCTTATTTGATTTTTAAAAAACTTATTTAACTTAGTGTGAAACTGAAGTTCAATTTATATAATAAGTATTTTTACAGTCCTATTTTAGGTTCTCACTTTCTTCACTATGTAAGGAAAATGAGCTAGACTCTTAAATTTCTTTATTTTTCTATTTTGATTTGGTTTTTTTGAAATGAAGTCTTGCTCTGTTGCCCAGATTTGAGAGCAGTTGTGCAATCTCAGATCACCGCAATCTCTACCTCCCGAGTTCAAGCAATTCTCCTGTCTCAGCTCCCGAGTAGCTGGCATTACAGGCACACACCACATGTCTGGCTACTTTTTGTATTTTTAGTTGAGACAGGATTTCGCCATGTTGACCAGGCTGGTCTTGAACTCCTGACCTCAAGTGATCTGCCGCCGTGGCCTTCCAGACTATTGAAATTACAGGCATGAGCCACTGTGCCTGGCCTATTTTTCTGTATTTGATTAAAACAGCTATACAGTTGTACCACTTACATGGCGAGAGGATCTGTATTATCTGAAATTCTATAGATTATAAGGATTTAGTAATTCAGTAAGACATTAGTTAATTAAAACGTTAGACAAACAGGCTTTAATTTGTTATATTATCTTGAAAGCCTAAATTTGAATGTGTTTTCTATAGATTAATTTGATTTTAATAAATTTTAGTAAGGGTTGCATGTATTAATGTACGTAAAATAATTTAAAACATTATAGCATAATTCTAGAGACAAATAGGCCTGAATTTAAATCTGGCTTTGTTACTTCATAGCTGTGTGATCTGGAAGAAATTATCTGGCCTCTTAGCCTCAGTTTTCTCATCTGAAAAATGAGGATCATAATAATAGTACCTGACTCATCGGGTTCTTGTGAGGATTAAAGGAGTTAAGTAATATTTAGTGCCAAATACAGTGCCTGGTGTACTTAATTAGTCCGTAATTGGTAACTATCATGGTTATTTTCTTTTGCCCACTTTAATGGTTAATAATTTATCAAATGCTTCTTTAAAAGGAAAGAAGTGTTTTTAAAACTATATGTAGAAAGGATAGATGGTTAAATGTATAGTTCAAGTACTATTCCTTGAGTCATATTACTTCTTCAATTCAGTTGTTTGGGAAGCGAGGACACTGAGGAGGAGAAATGTGAGTGGACAGTTAAAGAAGTCTTAAACCAAGTAATAACATTTCCTTCAAAAATATTAATAGGAATTTATTCAGTTCCCAGCATGATTGTTTCGTAAGAAAAGCTTTCCATAGATATTTACTGAAAATATCATTGCTGAATAAATATCAAAATAGATAATAACAATATAGATAGCTACTGGTGTCTTAAATATTTTTATGGTTTTATCCTGTTTTATTACACTGTTGCTTTTGAACATTTCTAAATCACAATGTAAATACTGTATTATTAAAATTAAATGTCTTTTGTACTAGAATGATGGTGGTTAACACATTTAAAAAATTACTCATCTGGGACTGGTCAAAGTGGCTCACACCTGTAATCCCACCACTTTGGGAGGCCGAGGTGGGTGGATCACAAGGTCAGGAGATCGAGACCATCCTGGCCAAAATGGTGAAACCCCGTCTTTACTAAAAATACAAAAATTAGCCAGGCGTGGTAGCGCCCACCTATAATCCCAGCTACTCAGGAGGCTGAGGCAGAATTGCTTGAATCCGGGAGGTGGAGGTTGCAGTGAGCCGAGATCGTGCTACTGCACTCCAGCCTGGGTGACAGAGTGAGATTTTGTCTCAAAACCTCCCCCAACCAAAAAAATTACTTATCTAGATTTCAATAATGTTGATACTTCACTATATAGAAAAAACTTTTATAGCTTCCCCAGCAAAAAGTTTCACTTAGTCATTTAATGTACAGTATTCTTTGGGCAGCTACTCCTCTCTGCACACAAGGCCAGTTATAAGTTGCTTACAGTTTTTAGGAGACGGATAAACAATTACAAGACAGTGTCTTTATTGATAAAAGTATGCCTAGATGAGCATACTTTTTACCAAATGGGCAGAGACTATGCCTAGTTTTCAAAGATTCATTTTGTTTAATTTGTAGATTTCATACAGTAACTTAAATATAAATTTTCTATAATTGGCTTTATTCGGAAGAGTAACAAAATTGCCAATTTTAAATAACCCAGTAAATAAATGAGGACACAGCAGGAAGATATTACTAGGAATTTTAATTGAGGAATAATTTATTTTTACATTTTATGTACTTTCTAAAATATGCATATAAGATTAAATCAATAAATGTAAAATTATTTAATGGATAGCATAATAAAATTATTTTCATTTTATATTGAAATAGTATTTCATGGTAATTTTTTAAAATATTTGTACTTTTTGGTAATTAATTGTGGTATTAAATTACCATGAATTTTTGCAAAGTATTTTTGGCTCTGCCAAGTATGAAAGATTTTTAAATTCTGCTCAATCTTCTAGGTTCAAATTGAGATCCATTATGTCCTCTGAAGTATTATTAATAGAATCTTTGAGTTAAATATGTTAAATATTGACTGGGCATGGTGGTGGCTCCTGCCTGTAATTTTGGGAGCCCAAAATGGGTGGATACCTGAGGCTGGAAGTTTGAGAGCAGGCTCACCAATATAGCCAAACCTCATCTCTACCAAAACTACAAATATTAGCCAGGCATGGTGGCATAGGCCTGTAATCTCAGCTACCATCGAGGCTGAGGCACGAGAATCATGTGAATCTGGAGATGGAGGTTGCAGTGAGGCCACATCAGGCCACTGAATTCCAGCCTGGGTGACAGAGTGTCACTGTCTCAAAAAAAAAAAAGAAATTAAAAAGTTAAATACTATGTTGTTACTTCTTTTGAATATACTTAGAAATTTACCATATGCTGATTTATGTAATCCTTATTTTGTGTTTTTCATTTTATCAACAAGCTGGTTTGTGACTAAATTTTATTTTCCTAAATTTAGAGTACAGGTAAGCTTGTCACTTAACAAAAATTATTTCCTGTGAAATAATACCAGACATTTCTAAAATTTACATTCAGAAGCTCTACCACTTGCATCTTTTTATTTAATTGATCTTATTTACTTGTTTTGTATTTTCCTCTGTGGTATCAGGCTATTTTTAACACACATTTTCCAATTGTTTTTCCTAATCTCTACTGTGTGCTTATTTACTTTTTTCTTCCTTTGAGAGAGAATTTCACTCTGTCACCCAGGCTGGAGTGTAGTGGCGCAATCCGAGCTCACTGCAACCTCTACTTTCCAGGTTCAAGTGATTCTCGTGCCTCAGCTTCCTGAGTATTGAGGATTACAGACATGCACTACCACGCCCAGCTATGTGCTTTTTTACCTTTGACATTCTCAAGTACTTTTTAAAATGTTTTTTTTCTGAGTTTATGTCTAAAATATTTGAATCTTATTACACTTTGATTACCTTACCAATTTTTTAGTTGTTTACAAAGTCTATGAATTCCACTTTAATTACAGACTCTGTGTTAAATTATGTAAATATCATTGGGAAACCTCAGTCCTTCCCCTGCTTTTTAAAATATTTCATAGAGACAGGATCTCTTTCTGTTGCCCTAGGCTGGTCTCAAATTCCTGGCCTCAAGTGAACCTCTCACCTCAGCCTCCCAAAGCTCTGGGATTACAAGTATGGACCGCTGTGCCAGGTCCTCAGTACAGTAACTTTTTATCAGCTAGCTAGAACCTAGCTTTCAAACCTGTAAATAACAGTCCTCCGACTGTGCTGATACAAGCCTAAAATACATACTTTTTCTTCCTATCTAAATGTACATCTTTCATCTAAACAGTGGATAAATGACTAATGCTTTTGTATAGTTATTCTTGGTTCCGTTCTCATTATTCAGGCACAGCTGAATATACATTGGTGTCATTTTACTAGTAACGCCTTCCTACAGTGCAGAAAAATAGATTTTGCAGTTTTCTACTTACACTGTTTTTTAGACTTTTGAGAATGGCAGCTACCATGAAAATTTCACTTTTCTTTTAAACCAGATTTTGTGATTAGGTAATGAAGGTGCATATCACTTTACATTCTATTTTTAATGAAGGGATATTCCTAGAAAAGTTTTAAAGATTATAAAATGCAATATACTGACAATTTTGAGCTTTCACATACTGTATTGTTGTGGGATTTTTTCCTCTAATGTTCTTATGGTTGTCACAGTCAAGGAAAAATACACCATAGTTTTTGGAAGATTGGTCTGAAAGATAATAACTGATTTGATAATATAGCGGACTAGCCAGTCAAAGAAGATTGTTTTTGAGATTTTAGATGGGACAATACAAATTTACTTCATCCTTCCTTGAAAAACGTATAAAATTTGGCTTATTTCCTTTTCTAAAATTTTAAGAGAGACTGTTTAAGTATTTACCTTTTATTGAATGATTTTCTACCACTTGGTCATTTTATATCAATAAAACAATTATTGTTATCTGCAATTTATGAGAGGAAGTAAAAACAAAATTCAGTCTTTCATCATTAACATTAAGAGGAGAAGCTTTATAAATCTTTTATATTTTAATGTGAAATTACTTGTTTTTGAAATCTTCTTTGAGAACTTATTTTTTAGACCATAAAAAGGGCCTCCAGATTTTGCTATATTTATGCTTCTCTTTAAGAATAGAATGTTTTCTTCCATAACCGTACTCGAGGTATAGTGGATTATAGTAGTTTTGTATTATTATTTAGACTATCTGATTTATCAGAGCCAGATTTATGTTGTATGTAATTTGAGGAAAGTCTTAACATAGGTTGTAGATATAAACTTAAATTCTAAGGATTTAAAACAGATGAGAAAAGTTATGGGATAAGTCACCAAAGAGTGAAATACTTCTTTTATATTCCGAGTTTTCACCTTCATTTTTTAAACTGTTGACTACCTTTACAAGCTTAAACACTACAAAGCTGCCAAGTGAAGATCCTTAGATACTGGCCTAATGAGAAGAGTGATAAGTGTATAAGTTCAAGTGTTTAAAATTAGAAAAGTGATCAGAAGTATGAGTAATTCAGCAGTTTTGTTCCAAGATGAAACTTGAAGTTTTTTTTTTGTTTTTTTGTTTTTTTAAATAAAACATAGAAAGCCATTGTGACATTAACTGGAAAGTTAATTTATATATTTTTGTTTGGTTGGTTTGTTTGGTTTTGAGGTGCAGAATGGTGGCGAACAACAGATGCTCATACTCGTACAGGAGCAACCTTCTTTCCACCATTACTGGGGATTCCTCCACTATTTGCTCCCCCAGCCCAGAATAATGATTCTTCTTCATTCCATTCAAGGACTTCAGGAAAAAGTAATCGAAATGGTCCTGAAAAAGGTATCCACATTAATATAAGTGAAGTACAATAAATCTTCCATTCTAATATTATTTTCATAACATTCAAGTTTAATACATTTTTATTATTTTTGTTTGTTTGTTTTAACAGAGACAAGGGCTCACTCTTTTGCCAGGCAGTAGTAGGGTTGTGTGATCATAGCTTGCGACAGCCTCGTCTTCCTGGACTCTAGTGATCCTCCTGCGTCAGCCTCCCAAGGACTATAGTCATGCACCACTATGCCTCACTACATTTTTAAAATTTATTTTTAATTTTTGCACAACAGGGTCTCTGTATGTTGCCAGTGGTCTCAAACTTCTGGCCTCAAACAATATTCACCTCAGCCTCCCAAAGTGCTGGGACTACAGGCATAAGCCACTGTGTACACCTGGCCTTAATAACAGTTTTGTAGTGTTATGCTAGACCTTTTCACATTTCCTTGCTTAATTCTTACAATAATTCTTTGAGATTAGAAGTATTTTAATTTTGCAACCAAGATCAAATAAATTGTTCAAGAAAATACTGCTTACATAAGGATGTGACCTAGTCAGAATTTGAGCCCAATTCTGCTTTTTCCTCTGTATCTCATTACCTCCCTATATGTAACACAATACAATGTGTTACTTCTTCTGTAATTAAGTGTTAATTTCATTAAAATTCATAACCTAGTACTGTTTTTAAATGATCACAATATTTCTGCAATTAACAACTTGTTAGAATATAATTTGAAACTTACAACATTTTAGATGGTTTATTTGTTTTCACTTAAGTGTTACAAAGTTTGCTCTTAAAGGAGAACATTTGCATTTCATCATCTTTCTAAACATTTTGTTTAATTGAGGTGAAATTCACATAATATTAACCATCTTAAAGTGAACAATTTAGGCATATTTAATGCATTCGCAGTGTTGTGCAACCACCACCTCTTATCTTGTTCTGAAACATTTTCATCACTGCAGAAGGAAACTTTGACCCATTAAGCAGTTGCTCCCCATTCCCCTCTCCCTCAGCCCCTGGCAACCATCAGTTTTCACTTTGTCTCTATAGGTTTACCTATTACGAATATTTCATATAGATGGAATCATACAATAAGACCTTTTCTGTCTTCTTTCACTTACATTTTCAAGTTCATTCAATTTTACATGTAGCCGTACTTCATTCTTAACTCACTCAATAATATTCCATTGTATAAATATGTTTATTTTTATTTTCAAGGTGTAAATGGGTCAATAAATGGAAATAGTACATCATCTGTAATTGGTATCAATACATCTGTACTATCCACTACTGCTTCAAGTTCCATGGGACAAACTAAAAGTACAAGCTCAGGTGGAGGAAATCGAAAATGTAGCCAGGAACAAAGCAAAAACCAGCCTTTGGATACTAGAGTTGACAAAATCAAAGATAAGGTAAGTTATTCTTTGAAGGACTAATATATAACATATCTATATAGATAAGATTAGCATTCTGAAGGTCAAATCAACAGAATCTCTGGATTAATTTCCTATGAATTACCAACTTTTATTTTTGCAGTATGTTCATGGTGTCAGTACCAGTGTAAATAATACAAATAGTAATAATAGATAAAATTTATTGAGAATTTATTGCAAGTCAGCTCTCCTCTAACTGCTTTTCATGAAATATCTATTAACCCCTTCCTATATCCGAAATGAAGTAGCTACTATTATTACAAATGAGGAAGCAAAGCACTAAAATAATTAGCCAGTAAGTGACTGAGCCAGGATTTGAGGGCAAGTGGGTTAACTCCAGTGCATTAGAAATGAGTGAATAAGAAAGCCTTTTATTTTGGAAAATTTCAAATATGCAAAGTAGTCAGAATAATCATGTGTAACTATTATTCACCTTCAACAGTTATCACATATGGCAAGTTTTATTTCATATCTATCCCCAGCTTTGCAAGTTATCAGTTTATTGCCTTTCAGCTGTAAATCATTCTTTTCTGCTTTGCCACTTGTTGCAATCTTAGTACTTGTTAGTAGAAGGTCCTGGAGGAACACTGGAAGAAGATGATACTTCTTTTTCTTCTTCTTTCAACTTTTGTTGTTGTTGTTGTTGTTGTTATTTGACAGGGTCTGGCTCTGTTGCACTGGCTGGAGTGCAGTGGCACAATCTCAGCTCACTGCAGCTTCCACCTCCCAAGCTTAAGCCATCCTCCCACCTCAGCTTCCCTAGTGGCCGGGACTTCAGGTGCATGCCACCATGCCCAGCTAATTGTTATATTTTTTTTGCAGAGATGGTATCTCACTATGTTGCCCAGGCTAGTCTTGAATGACTGGGCCTGGGTCTCCCAAAGTGCTGGGATTACAGGCATGAGCCACTGTGTGTGGCTGGGAACTCTTTTTCTTGTTCTAGTGTTTTCTTCTTTTTCTTACGCTGTGGCTGCCAGTGGGTGGCTCCCTTGCTGGCTGACAACTTCTCTACTGGTGGTGTCCAGGAGATCCAGTGATAGTCAGGAGACCCAGTAGAATACACCATCAAGTGAGTTTCATTGGCATCTCATCAGACAACTTCCATGTTTTGGAAAGTAGGTGGCTATCAAGCTAACTTTACTGCCACTGTAGCTGACAGGTTCCAAGCCAAGGTTTTCTGGTATCTTAGCAGGCAGTGTTCTGTGTGTGTCAGTCTTGACTGTGATACCTCATTGAGTTTTTCTGCCATCCAGTGGGCAATAGCCACATCCTCTCCCACAAATTCTGAAACTTAGCCTTGGATGAATGAAGGGGTTAGAGGGAAAAGTCCCTCTTCCAAGGTTATCTTTATTTCATGACTCTACCTTAGCCCTGCAAAAAGCATGTATTCCCTACATCTCCTTTTCCTGTATTATTTAGAGGTCACTTTATCCCTCTTAGTAGTTAATCTTCTGTTATTAATCAATATTCTTTATGTTAAATGTTCAGATTGTTGATGTGGTTTCTTCTTTCTGAGTAGATCTTGTCAGCTCTATAATTGGTACCAGGAGTAGGGTGAGTATGCAGCTTGCAGGTGGTAAATTCACTTCTACATTCTGATCACACTACACTTTTGGATTTCTTCTTCCACATTATGCCAGAAGCTCTGGCATCTCAACTTTATAAAATGCAGGTCGTCACTGCGTCCAGGTTTTATTTATCTAACCAAGTAAGCTGAGAAGCCTCTAGCTGTATGATCTAGCATATTATATATTAGATCACTTTTATCAGTGAATTTGGTCTGTTCCAATTTGTAATTTCTTCTTGTATGAGAAGTCTGAGTTAAAAGCCTTGGCATCAACTGCAAACATTTGGGAAACAAAGATAGAGTTGTGTCTTCTCTTCTACATTCTATAAAAACTACTTTCAGGGCCTGGTTTTTCAGTGGAAGAGAGTTGAAAGTTTGTCATCCTACACACATGATGTTCTTCACCATCTTAGCAGCAATATTATGACTAAGGAGCTTTTGATACATCATAACACGAATAGCAACACATAGGTAGCCACTGACTGCAAATGACATTGATCTGAATGTTAAACCTAAACTACATGCCTGTTATACTCCAGTTTCTAATCCTGTGAACTACTTTATCAGACTTTTCTTTGTCCTTTTTCAAGATAGTATCAACCTCCATTTATTTTCCTGAACAAATACATTTTTTTTCTTTTGCTGAGCATATTTTGTAGATATATTTCCTTTAACTCTTTAAATTTCCTTCTCAACAGAAAACACTTTCCATAGTGTAGCATGCTTATATGAAGACTTGGGGGAAGGTCATCTGGTAATGCTAAGAAGCTTGACAGTATCCATCACAAAAATGCAAAAGTTCTGTACATAGGCCCCAAAACAACCATTTTCTTTCCCTTTCAACCCACACCACTGAGCACTCAAGCAAACATAAGAGATTCTTAATTATTTCCTCCCAGGGACACAGGTGTCAGTGTCATACTCTCCACCTGTTGTTCCTTACCTGCTCTTGGCTCTTCTCCCATAGGATTTGTTTTAATGGCAGTCTCATTAGGGTAAGCACTAAGGGCCTATCTCTGAGCTGCTGCCAGCTTCTCTGATCCCAGACACTCACTGAAGCCATTCATTTCTGACTCCCATACCATTTTGAACCAAATCCCAGACATTATACCATTGGATGTATTTTTACGTGTGCTTCTAAAAGTTAAATGCCCATGCTTTTAACTCTTATGCTATCCTACCTCCTAAGAAGTCATGCTAAAATCAAGTAAAATCTCCAATACCTCTACAATATGTAAGGCATTGTACAAGATCTTGGAGGCATGACTATGACACAGTTCCTGTACTTAGTTCTAATGAGGAGTCTATATTGACATTCCTAAACAGAATCAGCGCTGTTATACTAAAAAGCTGTTACTTGGAGAACATACTGAAAACTCACAGAGGCACCTCTTTCTACCCAGTTTTAGAGATAGATTCTGAAGTACCATAGTAGTGTCTAAGGCAACTAAGTGGAAATAACATCATAGAGAGATTGTCTATTTAAGTGAGGCATACTAGAACTGAAGATTTCAAAAGAATAGCACTTTCAGATGATATGTGATTCAGCATGATTTTATGGCAGTGGGTTGTTCAAGTAACATGGAGATAAAGGGCATTGGAACTAAAAAAGAAAATCGTATGCTTTTTTACCTAGTATTTTTTTCAGTTTTAAAAGCTTTTTTAAAAAGTTGCTTCATTTGCCCTTTTCATGAGCAGTTTGAAAAACTGTTCTTCAGCTAATTTTGATACCTTCCATGGGGCCTGGGGTGCTTATCTCAGCCATTCTCATTGAAAGTCATTGATTAAGTCCCCTCCCCTCATATAGTCTGCATATATATTTAGAATAAATATTGATAGTTTAATTAAATAATTAAACTAAGACTAAAATATACAGCCTGTTAAGAAAAAAATAAAACAATTCAAGATTGAATGAGTTCTGTCCCAACTACTGTACAAGTTATTGTTCCCACAGCACCCAAATAGTCTTTAAAAATATACCTGGTTTTTCATGGTTTGAAAATACTGCGTGGTAGGGAAGAGTAAGTGGTACTGCTGCTGTGGAAAACAGTATGGAAGTTCCTCAAAAAATTAAATATTGAATTACCATGTGATTCTGCAATTCCACTTCTGAGTATATACCCCCCAAAATTGAAAGCAGGATCTCAAAGAGGTATCTGTACACCCATACTCATAGCAGCATTGTTCACAATAGCTGAAATGTAGACACAAACCAAGTGTCTATCAACAGGTAACTGGATAAGCAAAATATGGGGGTTGTGCATGTGTACATGTACATACATACATACATACATGTGAATATTGTCCATCTTTAAAAAGGAAGGAAATTCTGATATTTGCTACAACATGGATGAACCTTGAGGATATGTATTATTATACAAAGTGAAGTAAGCCAGACATAAAAAGACAAATACTGTACTGTATGATTTCACTTATTTGAGGTACTTAGACTCATCAGAATTACACACTGAAGTAGAATGCTGGTTGCCAGGGGCTAGCACGGAAAGAGGGATAGAAAGTTAGTGTTTAACAGGTACAGAATTTCAGTTTTACAAGATGAAAAGAGTTAATAGGGATAGAATTTCAGTTTTACAAAATGGATGGCACTAATGTTTGCACAACTATATGAATGTATTTAATATCACTGAACCATACACTTTAAAATGGCTAAGGTAGTAAATTTTATGTTATGTGTATTTTATCACAATAAAAAAATGGGGGTGGGGGAAATATACATCAAATGTCATCACTCCCTCCATTAGTGTTCTATCCCACTGGGAATAAAGTCCTTGCCAAGGCTTATAAGAGCTGTGTGATCTGACCTCTACCAGTTCATTCACGCTTATTTCCTACCTTTGCCTCCCTGGTTCACTATGCTCTAACTGGTCTGCCGACCTTATCATTTTGAACACACTCAACCCACTTCCAGCTGGTGGCTTTTTCCTTTGCTGTTTCTCCTGTCTTGAAAGGCTCTTCTCTATGTCCTTCGTTGATTGCTCTTGCTCTCCCTTAGATCTCAGCTCAGAAATGTCTTACCTGATGACTATATGTAATGCAAAGCCCTACCCCACTCCCCAGTACACATTGTCTATCCAGTTATTCTGTTTTACTCATGGTATTTATCACTCAAAACATTTATTTAAATTGTTTGGATTGGAGATCCAAGATAGCAAAATAGGAACAGCTCTGCAATGCAGTTCCCAGAGAGAAGAACACAGAGGGTAAGTGATCACCGCATTTCCAAATGAGTTTTTACTGCCCACAGACCAGGATGTTCCTGGGCTGAAAAGCGCCATGAGCTTCCAGCATGGCTGTTTCAGCCGGCGCTACGGGTCTCCTCACAAAAACTCGCACAAATGCAGTTCCAGGCAGCCATTTCAACAGGCGCTGGAATGCCTGGGATACAGAGCCT